TATAAAACTTCAGTTATGGAAGATGAATAAGTTCTAGCGACTGCTTGGCAACATTGTGCCTGTAGAAAACAATACTGTATTGTACACTTAAAAATATGCTGAAAGGGTAGACCTCATGCTAAGTGTTCTTATCACAATAAAATTAAAAAGAATTTTAATACTTGAGAAAACATAGAAGTACTCCTCATCTGTTTTTCTTTTTTTTTTCCAGTTGGAGTCTCACTCTGTTGCCCAGACTGGAGTGCAGTGGCCGCTCCCGGCCACTGCAGCCTCGACCTGCTGGACTCCGGCAATCCTTCCGCCTCAGCCTTCCAAGTCGCTGGAACTACAGGCGTGCACTACCACGCCTGGCTAATTTTTGATTTATTGTGGAGATGAGGTCTCGCCAAGTTGCCCAGGCGGGTCTCGAACCCCGGGCTCAGGCAATCCACTCACCTCAGCCTCCCAAAGCGCGGGATTATAGGCTGAGCCACCGAGCCTGACTCCTCATCTATTTAATAAAATTTATCTTTGTATCTAATTAGAAGGAATTACATTAACTTACATTTGTAATCAGCAAACTCTTGCAGTATGAAAACTTGAAATGGTTTTTACAACCTTAAACTAGCCGTGAGGACGGATTTCTATGAGAGGCCAAGGAGAACGTTTTTTAGTTGTAGCCCCCTAGAATTAGCATCCATTCATTCATTCACTGCTTTCTTCATTTAGCACATCTTTACTGAGTGTCTCTAACATGTCAGGAAGTCCCTGATTTGTGGATATTGCAGACTAGAGTGGAAGACAAAGAAATTAAGAAATCACCCAAATAGGCTGGATGTGGTGGCTCATATCTATAATGCTAGCATTTTGGGAGGTCAAGGCAGGAGAATAGTTTGAGACCAGGAGTTTGAAACAAACCTGGGCAACAAAGTAAGACCTCATCTTTACAAAAAACAGAAAAATTAGCAGAACGTGATGGCATGTACCTGTAATTTCAGCTATTCAGGAGGCTGAAGCAGAATTGTTTGAGTCCAGGGTGTCAAGGTTTTGGTGAGCCATGATTGTACCACTGCACTGTAGCCTGGGCAATAGAGTGAAACCCTGTCTCAAAACAAAAAAACAAAAACAAAACCAAAACAACAACAAAAAGAAATCACACAAATGAATGTAAAATTACACCTATGATAATTGCTTCAGAGAGTATCAGAGGAGGCCTTGACTCAGTGAGGAAGCATCCTTAGGATAGTGGGTAAAACTCTGCTGAGACCTGATAATGGTTATGAAATCTGAAGATGAGTTGTAACTTGACCAGGTGAGATGGAGTGAGGGCAGGAACATGACAAAGTCGTTTAGACACTGGGATCAGGAGCAAAGACCCTGTTGCAGAGGGAAGAGTGAAAACTTGAAGAAAGCCAGTGGGCTGGAACTGAGGGAGCAAGGACCAAAAAGGTATACCAGGCGGGACAGAGCTCATCGGCTCTTAGGGTTTGGACTTTATTTCAAGAGCATGGATATCCATTGAAGAGTTATAGGCTGGACACTAGCCTGTAATCCCAGCATTTTGGGAGGCTGAGGCAAGATAATTGCCTGAGTCCAGGGATTTGAGACCAGCCTGGGCAACTTGGTGAGACCATGTCTCTACAATAAGTCAAAAATATTAGCCAGGTATGATGGCGCATGCCTATAGGTCTAGCTACTTGGAAGGCTGAGGTTAAAGTATCACCTGAGCTCAGCAGGTCTAGGCTGTGGTGGCTGTGTGCATGCCACTGCACTCCAGTCTGGGCAACAGGTTGAGACTATACTAAAAAAAATAAAAATAAAAATACCATAAAGTTTCAGATAGGGCCACCCCATAATTCTCAGGAGTCACTTAGGAGTCAGGAGCCTGGCTGATTAAACCACCTTCATTCATGTGCTTATGTAGCAAAGCCCTATCGCATGAAGGACCGAAATAAAATAACCTGCAGGATTAGTCATGTAAATTTGAAATCAATTTTCAGTGGTTTATGAAGTTGTACAATCACCAGGCTTTGGTCCTTCTCCTCTGGGAAGCGTATTGAATAAGCAATAGAAATACAGTCAATGCCTCAGCAAGTGCAAATACCAGTCACCACAAAGTGAGACAGAGAAAGAAATTAATATAGTGTATTTCAAAAAATGATTTTTTTGACTAGCAACCCACTAGGCAAATTAAAATTCACTCTATCGAGAAATATTCATTTCTATCTTGCACTCTTTCCCCTCCCATGATCCTGAGTTTTGTGCTTAATAGTCATTTGGTCCTATTTATAACATGACTATGTGTTTATGAATCCCTAAGCAGCATATTATTTAGTTTACAGCTTTCCTTAAGCCACAGAAATGCAAAGGATTATAAGAGCCTACTATGAACATTATGCAATAACAAATTGAATAACTTAGAAGATATGGATACATTCCTGGAAACATACAACCTACCAAGACTGAATCATAAAGAAATAGAAAATCTGAGCAATAATGAGTAAGGAGATTGAAGCGGTAATCTCCCCAAAACCTCCCAACAAAGAAAAGCCCAGAACCAGATGGCTCAGCATCTTTTTTGAACTGATTTCACATTTCCTTTACATAATCTGTCTAAATCTTCTGAATTTCTTCAAATTACACAGTAACCCACTCTGTTTGGGGAATCTCAAAGTAGGCTAGTTTTGACACTGACTAGGGAATGCCTTTGAGGTAGTAAGTTTGCCCAGGGAGTCTGGTTGCTATTTCTAGTGACCAGGAGAACAGAGAGAATCACTGTTTTGAGAATCTCTGTTTTGGACCATGGGATATAGAGAAAACCAACAACTGCACTCACTCCCACTTGCAACCCTGAATTCAGGCAGGAGAATCATCTAGAGATCCACCAGCAAGAGGAATATGGATTCTTGCCATGTCCTTTATGAAGAATCATGAAGTCAACATAGCTTTTCATCTCCTGCCTAACTTTCCTATTTGATGTTACCATTACAATTTCAATACTTCTTCCTCCCGGGTGGTTCTTGTTTTTCTTAGCTTTGACACACAGGGCTAACTCCCCAAGAGCTGTGAGTGATTTAATAATGTGTTGTCTTTCATTAGAGTTTTCTTTTATTTTTTTGAGTTGGAGTCTCACTCTGTTGCCCAGGCTGGAGTGCAGGGGCACACTCATGGCCACTGCAACCTTGACCTGCTGGGCCGAGGTGATCTTTCTGCCTCAGTCTTCCAAATAGCTGGAACTACAGGTGTACACCTGCACACCTGGCTAATTTTTCTTGATTTATTGTAGAGATGAGGTCTCACCAAGTTGCCCAGGCTGGTCTCGAAGCCAGGGACTCAGGCAATCATTTCACCTTGGTCTCCCTGGGATTAATAGGCGTGAGCCACCGCACCCAGCCTTACTAGAGATTTAATTAAGAAACACATCAATAAAGCATTTTGCAGTTTGGAGTAAGAGAATGAATGCTTACATTCATTTCAGCAACAGATAAACCAGTAGTGCCGGCTTGCTTGGAACTGGTGAAGAAAGCTTGCACTATGGTGGTTTCCTTTCCTGCAGCTTCAAAATGCATAAATAGCTGAGCAAAAGTTCAGACACTAGAGATCAGTATGTTACCAAGAGTGTCCACTTATCCTTCTATCTCCAAAATTCTCTTTTATGAAAGAGAAAATTCTATTGTCCTAAGGCAGGCTTAGTTTGGCATTAAATTTGAAAAATGCCTTGTCAATGCCTGGAGTCTCCACTATAGAAAACAAAGTGATACAGGGACCCACTAATGTCCCTCTGTGTTGCCACAGCACCTAGAGAAGGGCATGGCAGGGATTCAAGGGTTCCTGCACATTCCTGAGCACATTACTGAGAATCCCCTTGTCTTCTTTGCACTCCCAGTAAGTAGCTTCAAGGGATCCTTGAACTTCCCTGCAGACTACACTCAGAGATGTAAATCCCTATTTACTCCCTTTCTTTTAACTATATAGTATCAATGTAATTGGAAGTAAGTCTTGTGATTTGCTTAATTTTTGTAATGTATGATATCTTAGGCCTTGTAAACTTCTTTTACTCTAAATGTCACTATTGTAGCTCAGTGTGGTGGTGTGTGTCTGTAGTTCCAGCTACTTGGAAGGCTGAGGCAGAAGGATTGATGAACCCAGCAGGTCGAATCTACAGTGGCTGTGAGCGTGCCATTGCACTCCAACCTGGGTAACAGAGTGAGACTTTAACTCAAAAAAAAAAAAGAAGTCATTATCTAAATGTAAAATGCAGCTATAACTTCAGTTCTATACAATGCTCTCCTGGTCATGTGGCTAATGTATAGGTACTGACAACTCTGGACTATAAAAGTAGATTGCGAGGCCTGAAGGGTTGGCAGAACCATTTTAGCAAGACCTCAAGTCCAGCTCTGCTCCCTGGATTTGAACTCAGAAACACTTCTTTCTACCAGTTCCCTGCACCTTTGATTTATTGATATCAAGAGGAGTAGCCGAGTGTTACTCGGACTATAAAGTTCTTTCTTTCATCAGAGTAGACAAAGTATGATAGTTCTGCTCTGGTGGCTAGGGAATTGGCAACTAAATCTTATTATTCACTTGGAAACTATATTTACAGAAGGTGCCAAAAAATGTATACACACTTAGAGAAAGGAAAGAGCTGTATTAAAATTATAATACTCAAGATATACCAGTAACAAAAAATGAATACAAATCATATATGACTTCAGCAATTATAAGAAGTGCTCAAAATGGTTACATCAGCATTCAGACACTTCTGATAATGGAGAACTAAAATACATAGATAACATCTCTTAAAATTTATATACAATTTGTTGGCAACCCTAGTTTGTGTGTGTGTGTGTGTGTGTGTGTGTGTGTGTGTGTGTGTATGTGTACACATTGTACATATGTAGGTATAGTAATGAAGATCTCAAGTCAATATTAAAATATTTGGTGATATTTTAATGTTTATTATACTCAGTTTTTAAAGAAAAAGAAGTTCATACATTTAAAAAGACATCAGCAAAAATTTGTGCCTTAACAAGAACTTCTTAAATACATATTTCTCTTCTAAAAGCAAAGAATCCCATTAGATGTCTCTCCTTTGGTTCACTTCTTCCTGGGTCCATCTGTAAAACTTTAACCTGTTTCTTGTACTTAGAGCCCTCGACTGAGATGATACGGCTAAGGTCTATTGGGAGGACTAAGCTCAAGATCCTACTGAGAAAACAAAACTATTGGGCTCCCACTTCCCCTTTGTCACCTAGCCAATGTCATCTTGTGTTTCTTGGCTTCTTATCTGCAGAGAAGACCTTTAGGGAAGGGATTATCATGTATGCTTGGGATTCACATTTGTGGCACACTCAGATATGCCAATGTTGATCAGTAATTCCCAGTTAAGCAGGGAAGAGCTCCTGCACATCCACCAACCCTCTTCAGAGATGCAATTACATGTGTGTCAAGGCTGACATTCTGTATCATGTTTCATAGTAAGCTTCCATCCAGAGGGTTGCAGATTTCTTCAAGGCCCTGGGGGAGGAGGAAATAAAATCATCAGGAAGTAAGACTAATGTAAAAGGAGCCTCTTCATGAAATTTGCTTTTTCTGCCTGGTTCAAGGCAATGTTAATATTTCCAGCTATAGCTAATAAATGTCTGTCTCTGTTGACTCATGGAGAAGGGTCAAATATGCAGAACTGTTTTTAGTAGATCAGTTTACCTTTCCTTTATGGAGGAGATTGAGATTTTTCTCTTCCTTTTTATTCTCTTTTGTACCTGTATATCTGTATATCCACCCCTCCTATAACTATCTACCTACCCTATTTTATAATGTGGAAAGCAGTTTTCTAGACTCTGGGATACAACAATGAATAGGAGAGATGTGAGCTCTGTTTACATGGAGTTCTCAATCTAGCTTGGGAGACACCTATTAAATAACTTGTTATCTACTATGTCATTGAACAAGATTGTGATAAAGATCATAAATGAAGAGAATCAGGTGCTGTAATAGCATGTGGCAGATTTAGTCTTGGGGTCAGAGAAAACAGATATGAGGTAAAGGCATTTGAGATGAACCTTTGAGGATGAAAATTGACTAGGTGATGTCAGGGCAGGTGGTGGTTTAAAGAACACTCCAGGCAGAAGACAAAGTGGCAAAACTCTCTCCCTCCCAGGAGAAGGCGTTTTGTAGCAACTTAAGATAGGCCAGATATCTAGAGGGCAGAGAGCAAGAGGAGGAGTGGTGAGTCTGAGCCTGGAACACTAGTCGGGGATCAGATCATATCAGACCTGGCCTTGTTGACCTCATTCAAGGTACTTTTTATCAAACCTAAAAGAACAAGAAAACCCAGATTACTGGCTGCTAAATTGACCAGCAAAATATTCTCTAGGAAGCTGTATGTGAATGCCTAAGGATGAGTATGGATTTTCAGTTTCTGCTGTCTCACTACCCTTAATCTGTCATCCCAGCCTGATTTGCACATTTGCATCCCACTGGACCCGTAGGCATCTAAATTTGCAACACTGGATCAGATGATTTGACAGTTCTTCTCACCATTTAAATTCTAAAGTAGGTAGGAAGTTCTCCAGAGAATAGATAGGAAGGCAAAAAATATATAGCCTTGATTTTTTTTTTTTTGAGTTGGAGTCTCACTCTGTCGCCCAGACTGGAGTGCAGTGGCCGCACCCGGCCACTGCAGCCTCGACCTGCTAGGCTCCGGCGATCCTTCCGCCTCAGCCTTCCAAGTAGCCGGAATTACAGGCATGCGCTACCACGCCCGGCTAATTTTTGGATTTATTGTAGAGATGAGGTCTTGCTGCCCAGGCGTGTCTCGAACCCGCGGGCTCTGGCAATCCACTCACCTCAGCCTCCCAAAGGCGCGGGATAAGTAAGCCAGTAAGACATTTTCATTAAGTAACTAAAAGGCTACAGGAACACAGTGAGTATTATTATCATAGTTGTTGTTGCTGATATTGCTCTCTGTGGAGTCTTGTGTCCATGCTGGGTTTGTAGGTGTCCCTTAATAAGCGATTGTTAGGTGAATGATTCCAGAGCCAGTGAATAGTCTGGGGAATGCAGTGAAGAGAAATGGGAGCTGTGAGCTAGAAGAAATTATGTTATTACCTGACAATATCTCCAAATGCCTTCAACATGGGCTTATTCACATACTGCAATCCATACTTGGCACACAGTGATCTCACCAGAGGCGCCACTTTGTGATAATTATGGCGTGGCATTGTGGGAAAAAGGCTAGGGAAACAGACAGGAGTTATAAAATTTAGACCTAAGGAGAAATCCAAAATTTTTCTTTTCTCTATTACCAAGTAAAATCATATCAGCAATGCAGACCCAACCTTGAACTTGCACAGTACTTCTGTTCTGGGAAGTTCAAAAACTCTTGCCAAATACTCTCATCTTATCTCTTAACACCTCTGCAAGCCAAGTATGTGGCAAATGCTAATAGAATAAATATTGGTTCCATGGAATACGTTTATTTTTGGCCAGGTCAAATGAAGATATGGGTTATTTATCATTTTTAATGACCTAGGAGAGCTGGAGATATTCCTCTTCCCACCTCTGCTTTTGACTCATCTGTCTCTCTCTATCTCTCTAGTCATGTAACTCTTGCCTCATAAATAGATGAGTATTCAATAAGTTCTAGTCATAGTATATAGGGAAAAGTCTTAGGATAGGAATAAGAAGTTAGGAGATACGTGTTCTTATCCAAGGTATTCCAATGGTCAGCCAGGTGACCATCTTGGGTTTTAAATTCTTCTTTGATAAATTATATATATTTTTTGTTTTGCTGACATTTTACAAAGACTAACCTGAAAGAAAGACTGAGAAAATATTAAAGGTATAAGATCTCTTTCCTCTCTGACTATCCCAAATATGGCTTAGGAAAAGAGAATGTGAAAAGTCTCTCCCTTAAATATTCTGGAGAGATTGATTCCAAAAGAAAGAGAAAACGATAATCAATCATTTTCTCTTTCTTTATTGCATGCCCACCTAACTGACCCATCTGTAAAGTATTGCCAGATATCATTTGGAAATTGCATCAGGGACGGAGTTTCATTGTTGATTATCTTGTAACTTCAACCCTATAGAGATAGATATTTAAATTAGATTTTAATTCAATTTCAACTCAACTTGGGTACCTAAGAGTATGGTTTTTCTTGGATTTCACCAGCAAACCAAATGCACAGGAAACAATCACTGCATCCTAAGCCTATAGGTATCTGGGAATTGAGTCACTGGTATTTTTCAAGATTTCACTCTACTTATTCACAATTGTTACTCTTACTTCTTTTTTTTTCCTCTACCTTACCACTGACATTAATAGAAAAGATAGCAGTCTTTAGACTTGGTTTATTTTTTCCTCTCTGAGGTTTTGAGCTTAGGGTTTTGCTCTGAAGCATATTTGGAGTTGTTGTAAGTGACTGCCCTTGGCCCCTGTCATGGACTAGTCCTAATTACTCACTGGTGCTCGATTTGGAAGTTCAAGTGCCCAGTGAACCAATCATTGAAAAAGGACTGTTCAATATTACAGGTGGCCAAGACCTGCAAAGAAAAACCTTACATTAGATATAAATGTGTCCAAGTATCAAACAAATAAAATGTTTATTTATTCTTCTATTTAGTTAATCATTCAGCAAGTGCTCATTGAGTACCTATTTTGTGTAAGAACCTATAAAGATTATAAAAGAGACAATCCCTAGTCTCAAGGAGCTTACAATTTTAAAGAGGCAATTAGTAATTTTACCAAAAAGTACATACAAGGTAACAGACATAAAAGAAAGAGTAAGTCAAATTTGAGGAGAAAAAGTCTTTAAAGTATTATGGAAATAATTTTGACCTTAGTTATGGAAGACCAGGTGTCATGAAAGAGGACTTGGCGGATGGAAGCAGGGTTGTAGGATTTTGGTAGAGAGTGTAGGAGTAAAAACCACTTCTACTTTCTTTCTTTTTTTTTGAGTTGGAGTCTCACTCTTATTGCCCAGGCTGGAGTGTAATGGCACGCTCATGGCCACCGCAGCCTTAGCCTGCTGGGCTTAGGCTATCCTTCTGCCTCAGCCTTCAAAGCAGCTGGAACTACAGACGTGCGCCACCACGCCCGGCTAGTTTTGTGTGCGTGTGTGTGTGTGTGTGTGTGTGTGTATGTGTGTGTGTGTGTGTGTGTGTGTGTGATTTATTATAGAGATGAGGTCTCACCAAGTTGCCCGGGCTGGTCTCGAACACCTGTACTCAGGCAATCCGCTGACCTCGGCTCCCAAAGAGCTGGAATTACAGGCTGAGCCATTGCACCTGGCCCGCTTCCACTTTAATAAGGTGGACATGAAAGACTTGAAAACGAGGAGTAAGACATTCAAGGATTCTTTGCAGAGAAGCGCATTCCAATACAAGTAGTTTTCTTTGTATCTTATGTATTTTATCCTATGTATTGAAAACACTATCTTCATAGCTTCTCTAGGTTGACAAGATTAAGAACTCTTATGAATGTCTTTTAAGGTTTAATTCTAACGGAGGTTGTTACCTTTTTTAATGTTCTGTGGTTGTTCTATGTTAGTGTTTCTCAAAGTGTAGTTCAAAGTATCTTGAAGATCCCTGGGACTCATTAATGGGAACTACAAGGTCAAAATTATTTCCAAGCTGGGCTCAGTGGCTCAGCCTGTAATCCCACGCCTTTGGGAGGCTGAGGTGAGTGGATAGCCTGAGCCCGCAGGTTTGAGACCTGCCTGCGCAGTGAGACCTCATCTCTACAATAAATCAAAAAATCAGCCGGGCGTGGTAGCGCATGCCTGTAATTCCGGCTCCTCGGAAGGCTGAGGCGGAAGGATCGCCGGAGCCCAGCAGGTCGAGGCTGCGGTGGCCGGGAGCGGCCACTGCACTCCAGTCTGGGTGACAGAGTGAGACTCCAACTCAAAAAAAAAAAAAATTATTTCCATAATACTTTAAAGACATTATTTGCCATTTTTATTCTCATTCTCTCAAGTTTGTATGGTGGAATTTTCCATATAGGATGGCATCATCACTCTAACATTATCATGTACTGGTTTATTCTTATTATTTTAAAACTAATTAATAAATATATATTTTTAAATCTTTTGGTTTTAATTTCAAATACAATAAGTATCAATGAATATAACCTACATAAACAGAAGCTCTTTGAGGTTCTCAGTAACTTTAAGAGTGTGAAGTGTTTCTATTGCTTTCAGTTATGATAACTGAATGGTGGGAATTCAAAAGACCAGGAATCTGATAGGGTGGTGATAGTATCTTGCTAACTTCATATACTAACTGTAGATATGATACTCTAATATATTATTTTAATTGAATTTCTTAACGTAACTTTGTGCCAGAATCATCACTTGTGCCAGAATTTTTTCACAAGTGGAAAAAGAAGACTGACTGGAGCCGGGCTCGGTGGCTCAGCCTGTAATCCCGCGCCTCTGGGAGGCTGAGGTGAGTGGATTGCCTGAGCCCACGGATTCGAGACCCGCCTGGGCAGCGAGGCCTCATCTCTACAATAAATCAAAAAATTAGCTGGGCATGGTAGTGCATGCCTGTAATTCCGGCTACTCGGAAGGCTGAGGCGGAAGCCCAGCAGGTCGAGGCTGCGGTGGCCGGGAGCGGCCACTGCACTCCAGTCTGGGCGACTGAGTGAGACTCCAACTCAAAAAAAAAAAAAAAAAGAAGACTGACTGGTTCACTATACGAGATATTTTCAAGGCTACTACATGAAAGACAATGCAAACTAATAAATCCGTCCCACAATACAATTACAGAGCAAGAACCAACTGGGGAAAACATTTATAACACAAATTATAGACAATGTGTTAATTTCCTTACTCTACAAAGAGCAATTAAAATTCAATAAGAACATATAAATACCCAGGTAGAACAATGGCTTAAGGACACTGGTAAGTGATTCAAAGAAAAAGAAATACAAAAAGCTGATAAATATATGAAAAGTATTCAGCTTAACTAATGATTAAATAAATGATAAATAAAAACTAAAAGATAAAAAAAAAGCGGTTCTGTGATGTGAGCAAAAATTTTGAGAACCATTCCTGTATGACCTATAGAGAGTCCACTGAGTTTGGGTATGAACTTGAAGAAGGAAGCAGTTAGTCATAGCACTGTCAGTAGAGGGGATGTTGGTTTAGGGAACAGGGGTCTGTGCTGATCATTAAAAAAAAAATTAATGGCATGCTTGTAATGTATGCCAAATCCCTTCTTTGAGACTCTCTCTACAATGAAAAGAGATGATTTCCAGGGTCCTTATAGGTATAAAATTCATCCTGTAATTCTAGGAGTCTCAGATTCACTGGAAAGGCTATGTCATGTGAGAGTTTTGAGCAGGAGTCAGCAAGTTTTTTCTATACAGTACCAGTTAGTAAATATTTAAATTCTCTCACAACTACTCAATTTTGATGTTTGTAGCATGAAAGCAGTCATAGATAACATGTAAGTGGATGATCATGGCTATGCTCCAATAAAACTTTATTTACAAAAACAGGTAGTAGCCTCTGGAGTGTCGGTGACTGGATGCTTGGTTTAGAGCAAAGGATCTATAATCAAACTGCCTAGGTTTAAAACTTGCTTCTACCACTTACTAGTTGTGTGACTTGATATAAGTTACTCAACTTCTTCATGCCTCCATTTTATCATCTGTAAAGTAAGAATAATCATAGTGCCTACTTAATGTAGATACATGCAAAGCACTTGACAGTACTTGGCCCCTGGCAATTATTCTCTAAGGGGGAGTTTTTATCATTTGTGATAATCAGAGTCTCAATCAGTATGGTTTGAAGGGTTCTCCCAACTCCACCATTACCTGAGTGCTGAGCCAGTCCCTGTTCTCTTCTTTGCTCATTTTCATTGGTATGTGGCTCATCTGGGTAACGTAGGCAATCCAGGGACTTTCAAGAAACCTTTTGGGAGAGTGAAAGGAGGAAGTGATGACTCTGTGAGGTGTTTTAATAGCAATCAATGGACTTGCATAACCCCTGGCAGAGCTGCCTGAGCTTTGGAGGAAATGAAAGAGACTCAAAGCTTCCAGTAAAATGGTGGTCATTCTTTTTCCTCTTTGAAAGCCCTTTATATCTAGAGATGACACACTAAGCATTCAGCCGTACGACCTGTTCTGCCACCAAATGTATAAAAGCAGTGTCTCTAAAGTTTTCTGTAGTTCTGGTGTGAAGGTCAAAGCACTAAGAGGAACTTAAGGGCATGTGCAAAGTGGTTGCAGCCTGGATTTTATCCTCAGATAGAGCTGGATTCAAGTTCTGTTTTGGCACTGGCATTGGCACTTACTTGCTCTTACATGCCCTTGGGCATGTGATTTAATCTCTTTGAATTTCAGCTCCTGCAGCAGATAAAATGAAGATGATACTATCTGTTGCAGGGCTGTGTGAGGATTACATCAAATAAGATAATGCAGATAAAGCCTTTAACAAGGTGCCTGATGCATAGTAGCTATCATTATCCTTATAATTATTTAGGGTTTGGAATAATCATGCAACAGAATGAAGGAGGAATACACTGGGAAGTAAAAGAGGGCTACTCAGGCTAAAATGATAGTCTGAAGCCATTTAGGTTTAATTTTGGGAAACTCTAGTCATAAAAGAACTTCTAAAAATTCCTGCCCTGTCATTACCTTTGGCAAGGATTATTATGTCTAACTAGATTACAGTTTTAAAGGACCCAGAGATCAGTTGAAATGCTTGGGAATCAAGCAAGTGGGGAAAAAAATGGAGATTCAGGCAAATTCTTCTTATAAGGAGCTTGTCTTGTTCAACTATTTTAACTATTTTTTCCCCACATTTGCTAAAAAACACCTCAGTTCAAGGAAATGAGGCCTGGTGTCATAATCTTTGGCTAATAACAGACTGCTCTAATAAGGAAGGTAAGAAGACCATATGAGTTATGGGAATATGAGACTATTCTTACTTGACCAAATATATGAGCAACACAGTTCCGAAGATTCCATAGAAAGGACCAAATGTGATGAAATATCGGATGTAAAAGCTGCTAACCCAGGCAATGTCCTGCAGAGAAAAGCATTTGAAATTTAGATGCCCTGTACATAATACCACTTCTTCATTGGCCTGAGGTCTTTTCATGTACAGGCTAAATCTTCCTATTACTCAAGGAAGCTATGTCTGCAAGGGACCCAGCATTTTCATTTTTCCCTCTTGAAAGGACAAAAGACCAAAATGGATTCAATACAGCCAAAGAACAGTCATTTTAACATTGCTTAGCTTTATCATGTTTTTTTTTTTGGAAGTTCACTTTATTTTACCCTCTAATCTTTAGCCAAGGACAGAACCGGTTTCCCAGAGATAACTACTGATAATTGTCTTACAATGTCCCCTCCACATCTGCTCTGCACTGTTTACTTTTCTATTCCAAGTTTGTCTTTCAGCCATAAAGAACCAGGATGACCTAATCTATTGTAATCACCTCTTTGTGACCTACATGACACAAACAGACCCCATCATTATGGCAATAGTTATGTGACTAACCCCTCCATCTACCTGCCATCCATCACTGAATGTCAGTACCTGTGCTTATCTGCCCCTTCATGATGCTATAAAACAGACCACCACCCAATCATCTTAATGACCTGCCCTCGAAGAAAGAAAAGGTTTAAAAAACAATCAACCTCAATCAGCCATGGCCATGCTTCTCTTTAAGCTCTGGCCCCTATATAAACTATATTTTCCAATCTAATTTATGTGCAACTCTTTGCATCTTACCCATGGCACTGGCTCAAAACACAGGCGTATCTCACAAACCTAATGATTCTCACAGACCTAACATCTCTTTTAGTTTTTGTTGTGTTTTAATTTAATTTTATATTCAGAGGGTACAAGTGCCTGTTTGTTACATGAACATATAGCATAGTGGTGGGGATTAGGTTTCAGGTGACCCATAACGGGGTCTAGTTTTAGAGTTACTAGTTACTTACCCCCCAATATCTTCGAAGGTACATTACTTGCATGGATTGCAGGTTAAAATATACAGGCATGAGTAAGGGGAGCCCAACTGAAAAATAACAAAAAAAAGATGGTGAGTAAATGAACAGAATGAGACCCCAATGAAAGTCCCCGAGAGTCTCTCTCCTTAACACATGGCTTCTGGTATATGGGCCCTGAGAAGGGATGCATGGTGCGAGCTACACCACAACCTGGGCTCCACTGGTCTTTCCAAGTCTAACAAGGTTGGATTAGGCATTTGGTCAGTTGCGCCAGGTTCAAGCTTCCTCAAAGAGGTTAGGGAAGCTTGGAAGATCTGAGTCATTTTTGATAAAGGCATCCTTGAAGAGCTCTTGCTGTGAGCTTTCAGGTGTTTTCAAGGTCTCTGGAGTCCTATAATTCCCCCAAATCCTCAGGATTGGACTGTCACAATAGGTTGGGGTAGTCGAAATAAAGAAGGTGCTCTTGTTTCCTGGTCAGAACGTGATTTACCTGCTTCTCCCCCAGCATCTTATGGTCCCCAGAGCATAGAGGAGTCTTATGGAGACTCTTTGACTTTAGAAAGACTCTCTCCTTGGCCAAACTTTAGTCAGGATCCATGGTGCCCTCTTGACTAGCCCTCAGACTTTGCCTCTGAAGACTGCAAACTCTCAGCACAAATGATTTTTTCCACACCCACACTAAGAAACTTGAGCAAGCACTAGAATAGTTTCTCAAAGTTAAAAGCCATGTCTCTGGGATAACACCAGCTTCCTTAATGTTCTTGCCTAGAAAATTCAATGCTGCCAAAAGAATGTACAGTTTGTTCTAGCCAATGTCTGACCACAGGTACCTGGCCTCCATTTTCTTTCTTTTACTTTAGAAAACTTACAACTGTAAATCTTTTCTCTCCTCCTTTGAGATGTGACTTCTGCAACCCAGAAATGTCTTTCTCAAGGACCCGGGACTCACACCCTTGGAATGTAATCATTAAGAAGAATAGGGCTCTTATCTCTCAGTCTCTGTGGGTGGGTATGAGCCTAACTTTGATAAGCACCAATTAGCAGACACAGAGGGTCTGGATTAATCACATTGACTAACTTCCTCATTTCTATCCAATCCCCCAGCCTCTTTCAGGACTTTTTCTTTAGCATGCCCTAACTTTTACAAAGCCTGCCATACCTGTAATCCCACCACTTTGGGAGACTGAGGGAGGAGAATTGCTTCAACTCAGGAGTTCCAGACCAGCTTAGGCAACATAGTGAGAGACCACGCCTCTACAAAAAAATTAGCCATGTATGTTGACATGTGCCTGTAGTCCCAGCTACTTGGGAGACTGAGGTGGAAGAATTGCCTGAGCCCAGGAGGTTGAAGCTGTGGTGAACTCCTCTGTACTCCAACCTGGGCAACAGAGTGAGACCCCTGAGTCAAGCAAATATTCACATAAAATAAATAAAAAACCTTTCTTCCACCTTTTGTCTCAGCAGAAAAAAGCTCAGTGTATACTGAAGTCTCTCTCCCCTACTGCAGTAGCCTGAATAAAATTTGTCTTGCCTTTAATAAACATTCAGTTCTGCTTCTCTTTGACACTTTGAGTATGACTCATTTGTACCCGAGAAGCTAAGCTGGCATTTTCAGGGAAAGGACACAATGAAACAGCTCTTGGTGGGGCAGTGTGGCTTGGGAGGTAGGCATTCTGCATTGAATCCATGCTATTAGCTCATTCTCCTAAGTGTGGAGCATGCTGCACCATTACAGACAGGGGAAGTCTCAGAAAAGTTCAGAAAAGAAACACCAACAGCTTTTTCTTGTGCATCTAGTTAGGCTGGCGATTAGCTGACTTTCAAAATGGGGCACCAATTTCCTCATTCTTCCTTTTGGTCATGCAAGAGAAAGGGCAGGTAACAAATGAGGATGGGTAGGCTAAACTCCCATCTGTGGAGATGCCAGCAGGGATGGGCAGGTCCATTATTTCAAAAAATTTGCTCACTGCCATCTTCCTCAGGTGTCCTTATCAGGTAGCCACTGGTGGAAACACCTGGGCAAATCCTCTGCAAGTGTTTCTCAACCTCAGCACTGCTGGCATTTGGGGCCAGAACTGTTTTGTTATAAGGGGCTGTCCCATGCATCGTAGAATGTTTAGCAACATCCCTGATACTCTCCCCCTGCCTGCTTTCATTATAACAACAACAACAAAAAAAATCACCATCTACAGGATACGTTGGGTTCCTTCCCTGATTTTGGTTTATTCCTCAAATATATAAGTATGTTTTATTTATTTATTTGTTTTGAGTTGGAGTCTCACCCAGACTGGAGTGCAGTGGCTGCTCCCAGCCACCGCAGCCTCGACCTGCTGGGCACCGTGATCCTTCCGCTCAGCCTTCCAAGTAGCTGGAACTACAGATGCACGTTACCACACCTGGCTAATTTTTTTGATTTATTGTAGAGATGAGGTCTCACCAAGTTTCCCAGGCTGGTCTCAAACCCGTGGGCTCAGGCAATCCACTCACCTCAGCCTCCCAAAGTGCGGGTTTACAGGCTGAGCCACCGAGCCCGGCTAAGTATGTTTTAAAAGGGCAGAGTTGAGGGTTTCTTGAAAACTTTCTTTGTGAGCTGCCATGGTTTGATTTTGGTTAATAGCAAAGATTTTTCGCTTATGGTGTTTCTTTATTAGTATTAGATCTACTCAGCTACCCTTGTTTTCTTTCAAGCCTGGCCTACAAAGCCTGCACTGGAATATACATGTCCCATTCTTCGACACCTGCATATAGGTCATGGGAGCAGCCAGCTTTCTTCCACGCAGGGGCAGAAAAAGTGCCTTTTATGCCTCTCCTTTGTCTGGCATCACACAGTAAATACTTCAGAATTATTTTCCCATCTGTCTTTCCTTCCTACCCACACACCACTATTCTTTTCTCTTGATAGGTGTGGAAAGTCCCAGATGCAGGGCCCCTTGATTGGCAGGCTGCCTTCCCTCTTGTGGGGCATCTCCTTCCTTCCCTGCTCAGGTCCCAGAGTGATGAGATGCCTGTTCAAAAGGCCTATTTACTTTCCCATTTCCCATGTAGGTTTTCACCCCAGTGAGTCCGAAATAAGATATGCTGCCTTTCTCAGTAACAGTAAGACATGGGCTGGTCTCTGTGAGAGCATTCCAGTCATGCCTTCCAGCTTGCCAAGTGCTGGTTTCAAGGGAATGGGATGAGAAGGAGCGTAGCTCCAGGAGACTCACCCATGTAGAAGTACAGGTGCTGCTTTTCATAGTCGATGTATTTGATTTTCTTCTTGCCATACTGAATGAAGACAGAATAAAACTAAAATAAGAGACAATACTTCTGGTCATCACACTCAAGTATGTGTGTGTGTGTGTGTGTGTGTGTGTGTGTGTGTGTGTGTGTGTGCAAGTGTCTAAAATCTCTATAGAAACAGCCATCCAATTCGTGTTCATTGACAGTCAAGCCTGAAGCACTAGAAGAACCACAACTGGGATGGAAGAAAATACTGTGGCATCATTTTGCTTTGATTAAATGTATGCAATTTTTGCATGGATGGATTATTCAATTGGACTATGGAGATTTTATATATATATTATATATATTATATTATATATATATTTTATTATATATATAATATATATATAATATAATATATATAATATATATATTTTTCCCTCACTGTCGCCTAAGCAGAAGTGCAGTGGTACGACCTTGTTTTACTGTAACCTTGAACTCCTGGACTCAAGTGATCCTCCTGCCTCAGCTTCTCTAGTAGTTGGAATTTCAGGAGCACATCACCATGCTATTTAAATTTTTTTTGGGGGAGGAGGTAAAGACGAGGGTCTCAAACAGTGGGACTCAAGTAATTCTCTGTCTTGGCCTCCCAAAGTGCTGGGATTATAGGTTTAAGATACCACACTCAGAATTTTCTATTAAATAATTCTCATGGAAATAATTGTTCACATAAGGATAAGATTTTCACATAAGGAGAATTTTTTTTAGCTCTTCTTCAATTGTGCTATTGAGGATTCTGCTTGTATCTCAGATTCCATCTTCATTCATTCATCTAACAGTTTAAATGCCATATGATAAAAGATATAGACCTGGCCTCTCTTATCTGTTCCATCTTCCTCTTTTTTGTTCTCATCATGGATCTCACACCATGATGTACTATCTTAAGACATGATGATAGTACGCATAATAACTATTTTATAATTACTTATAATCTTTTATTATGTACAATAATGTAATTATTATATTACAATCACTACTGACAATTAGATTCATTTTCTAGGGGTTCTTTTTGTTGATTTGGCTTTTGCTCAGGGCAGAAGACAGCAAACGCTTTGAGAGAAGGTTAGAAGTAAGGGGTTATTTCTCTAGTACCCAGCAGATATTCAATAAATGTTTATTAAAGGACATAATGGATGAATGGTAATTCACACCCACTCCATATTTTTTTCCTACATTCACTTAGTTTCAACAGTATGGGCAGTCTTTGACTCTTGCTTTCTCCTTTCCTGTTTGTCTCTCCTCTTATGGTCACAAATTATAATAAATATCATGGTGATGAAGTATTAATAACTAATTGCAGTTACTCCCAAGCCTTTTAATATTACAGTAATGGGAAATATGGAAAAAAGGCTAGACAGAAAATACTTGAGAGGTGACAAATCACAATGGACTGATTTTGAGTATCACCCCAAAGGAGGATTCTAAGTCTTCTAGGATATGAGCACAGGACATAGAAGATTTAGTAAGTGCTTGTTGCAGAAATTAATGTTTGAAGAAAGATCAAGGAAGAAAGGAAAAGCTCGGGGCTCATCAGAAATATTTTTGATGTAAAACTACAGAATTTTAGAGTTCAAATAAATAACTTTAGATGATGTCTTGAAATGTAGCTTTGAAATTGTTTTACATAGAACTCTAAGGTGCTAGGGTTGTGTCCCAAGAGCAGCTGTAGAAAGTGGGAGGAGTGGCCTCAATCATTTGTGAAGAGGTTACCCAGGTACTGAATGTAGCTCTTTGGAAGGCATGTCTGGAGTCAAACTGCTTTGTGAACTTCAGTGAGACAAACTCCTTTGCTCTCGGCAGGAGGAAAAGCAGGGAGACAATTAGAGAAATCAGCATGCCAAAAATCTAGTGAAGAGCCTGGATGTCCACCAACATCAGAGAAGTCCAATGTGTTTGTGGAGCCATTGTCAAAAGCAACTGATGTGTGATCACAGCCAACATTTTTTTTGGTTTAAATTTAAGCAAGGCTTTGTTTTCTATTTTACTTGGGGAAGAGCATGAGTCTCCCAAAGCTAGGGAAACCTATTTTCAGAAGTTGTACATTTTTTGGTTTATGTACCAGATAGGCAACAACTGACAAAGTTACAAACTTTTATTTTTATAAAACTCTTTAAGTTTTTCTAGAATGAGCTAGCAACCTCTTCCTATGTACCTGACTCTTGAGGAGAGGTACCTTTCTTTATCTACCTCCTTTGCCTAAGAAAGACTCCCTTCTGAAAAACTTGGTAATTTAAACAGTGCTTTACATGATGGTTTTAAGTTGATGTGTTTTGTTTTTGTTTTTAATTCAATAGCTGAGAAATTCTGAAGATGACTTTTCCCTTCCTTTTTTTATGTTGTTAAAAAAGTTCAAATTCGAGATGAGATCTCTAGATGTCTTACAGGGAAGGCATTCAGACTATGGTTCATGTATAAATGCACCAAAATGAACATGAACTAACTATAACAGCATAGTTTCTACTAAATGAGCTAGAATTAGAAGAAATAACCTGGTATGTAGATGCATATGAGCTAGTGCTTAGTAAATGTACTGATCATCTTCTTTTAGTGAACATTTCTCCATGCCTTTGTTCAACTTTGGACGATCATTGCCAACTTCAGTCAACTAGTTCCAATATCCATAATAACATTGCTTTGCATTGCCTCAGAGGTAATGATAGGCACTGAGCAGGGACCTGTCTGTTAGTAGAATTGCTCAAACAGAGTAATAAGGGTTCTCATATTTCCTGCTATGGGTGGTTGGACTGGATGATTTTAAAGGTCACAGAGTCATGACTCAGAATGTCCTTGTATTCTTACAACCTCAGATTCAGTTTTTCTAATCTATATTTTGGACCTAAAAGGAGAGATGCTCTCAGATTGTGAGTGAAGCAAGAATTTCCAGCTTGATCTTTCTAAGGCAAGGCTGTTCATTTTTCTAAGAGCCGCTTCCAGGAACATTTCCCGATGCTTAGGATTTTTAAGTGTACCTTAACAGGTTGCAAATCTCCAAGCAGAAAAAGTGGGCCCACGTCGATATCCGGGTCTTTGGGGTAGATGTTCGGTTTTACATGATGTTGGAAGTGCCGGTTATTCCACCAGTTTGCTGACAGGCCCTGAGGAGAAGAGAGTACTCATTAGCTAAAATAATTCTCCCCTGAAATACCCTTCACTGTCAGAGTATATGTATGCATCCCCAAAGTCAAAATAGGAATTCAAGTTTCTTTTGCTTGCCCCACTGTTGGGTCACAGTATAACTCATTGGACAGAGGCTCTCATAACCTATGAAAAATAATTCTCTGATCCAGAAACACAACTTCAGGCTAAAACAACTCTTGATAATGAAAATCATAAAAGCCTGCTGAAACGAAAGCTTTTCCCATTCTTCTCTTATTTGATCCTCATTTAAAAAAATATCTGAAGGTAGGTGGGCAGAGGGTATTATTCCTATTTTACATATAAAGAAGCCACAGTTCCAAGATTTTAATTAGTTCTGGGGAAAAAAGTATCCCCAGGTATCCTACTTCAATGAATATTTCAAAGAATCATGGATCTGAAGTGTTCTCCTTGGGGGGCTTGGCTCAGACCATTGCGTGTCCTGGCTTCAAAGCTCGCATACAAAAATAAATGAGAATAAAAATATTTGGCTGGCGTCAAGCTTGAATCACATCTGATTATGTTGTTTGTGATTTTTTTTCTCAGTGAAAATCTGAAAGTTTTAACACAAGAGCAAAGGATTTGGAGTCACATCCTACTTACATGTACTAGATGTATAAATACCAATGTGTGGTTTTGGTGAATAACCCACCCTCTTTGAGGCTCAACTCTGTCTCCCGTAAATACAGTATAGGGACATTTACCTCCAGGGGTTGTTTGGGGGAAATATGAGATGATGTATATAAAATGTTGGCACACTGAGATACTCAGTTTTTCTTCTTTTATGGCAAATTTTATTGCATGTTTGACATCCTTTAGTAGCCAGTGTATACTTGTTCTATTCTGTACTGTCCAATGCAATAACCATTAGTCACACATGGCTATTGAACACTCGAAATGTGGCCAAATTACGACAGGATGTAAGTATAAAATACATACCGGATTTTGAAGACTCAGTATAAGAAAAGAAAGGTAAAATATTTCATTAATAATTTTTGGCCAGGTGTGGTAGCTCAAGCCTGTAATCCTAGCACTTTGGGAGGCTGAGGCGAGAGAATTGCCTGAGCCTGTGGGTTCGAGACCAGCCTGGGAAACATGGTGACACCTCGTCTGTAAAATAAATAAAAAAATTATCTGGGTGTGGTAGCATGTGCCTGTAGTTCCAGCTACTTGGATGGCTGAGGTGGAAGGATCGCCGGAGCCTAACAGATCGACGCTGGGGTGGGCATGTCACTGCACTCCAGCCTGGGAAATGGAGTGAGACTCCCAACTCAAAACAACAAAAAATAATAATGATAATTTTTACATTGATTACATGTTGAAATGGCACTATTTTGAATATACAGAGGTGATATATATATATATATACACATTTTTTTTTTGAGTTGGAGTCTCACTGTGTCATACAAGCTGGAGTGCAGTGGCATGCTCACGGGCACTCCAGTGTTGACCTGCTGGACTCAGGCTATTCTTCTGCTTCAGTCTTCCAAGTAGCCAGAACTACAGGCATGTGCTATCATGCCCGGCTAATTTTTAAAAATATATTGTAGAGACGAGGTCTCATCAAGTTGACTGGCTGGTCTCAAACCACTGGGCTCAGGTAATCCTCTTGCCTCTGCCTCCCAAAGTGCTGGGATTACAGGTTTGAGCCACTGTGCCCGGCCTATATATATTTTAAGAAAGGAAAAAATTGTATTAAAATTAAAAGATGAATACAAGTCACATTTAACTTCTGTAATTACAAGAGGTGCTCAAAGTGGTTACCATCAGTGTCCAGACACTTCTGCTTACAGCAAACTAAAAGTAATACATAGATAGCATCGATAAAATGTGTATAAATTTTTTGGCACCCCAGTATATGGGATAATATAATTATCTTTTTTTTCTATTTTATTTTAAAGATATATTGTACAAGTCAGATTTAGATATGTAAGTGGTTTACAAATAGGTAAAGTTTGGAATAAAATTACCTTTTAGATGTGACTATTAGAAAATTTAAAATGCATATGCCAATTTGGTGTGGCTTGCATTATATTTCTACTGGAGCACACAGGTTTGGACACTTACATCTGTGGTAGAAGGAGACAACTATGTTTGAAAACCTATATGCACTAGCACTGCCTTTCCATAGCTTCTTTACAGAGTCCCCTCTTAGCAACCCTAACCCCACCCAATCAACAGGAATAGTGTTCTCTTCTCACCTCTAACACTCCCTGACATCCTTGCAGTGGAACTCTCCCTCCAGCCTGGGTCTCTATCCTGAATCTCATGCCTGAATGGGCATTTTCCAAATATCTTTTTATTTGAATGTTTCATGATATTGGAAAGTCAATGTCATGACTTTATGACATTGTCATGACAATGTCAATAGCCAAAACTATACTCAACAATTTATACACCTCCTTCTAGTCCCATCAACACTCTACATTTCTCCTATCAAATCCTATCAGAATGCATATGACAGGTACAAATTGTTACAGTTTGGCTATCTATTTAGGTGTGAGACCTTGTTACAGTTAGACAGGAATACAAGTTCTGGTGTTCTATTACACATAGGGTCTATAGCTAACAATAACCTATTGTATTTTCTTTTTCTTTTCTTTTTTTTTTTGTCAGAGTCTTACTCTGTTACCCAGGCTGGAATGCAGTGGCATGCTCACGGCCACCACAGCTTCTACCTGCTGGGCTCAGGCAATCCTTCAGCCTCAGCCTTCCAAGTAGCCGGAACTACAGGTGCACACCACCATGCACGACTAATTTTTTTTGATTTATTGTAGAGACGAGGTCTCACCAAGTTGCCCAGGTTGGTCTCGAGTCCCTGGACTCAGAAAATTCTCTTGCCTCAGCCTCCCAAAGTGCTGGGATTACAGGCTTGAGTTACCACGCTTGGTTGTATTTTTCAAGATAGCTACAAGAGGGAACTTTGGATATTGCTACAAAGAAATGATAAATTTTTAGTGATAAATATGAATACATGTTATATGATGTATACATACATTGAAATATCACACTGTACCCTGAAAATATGTGCAATTATATGTCAACTATAAATAAAATTAAATTACAAGAAGAAAATACATAAAGATTAAACAATTGCATATGATCCACTCACTCTTACAATTGTGCATTTATTCACACATTCATCATTTATTTTGAAGTATGTCCCAAGTGTCATATATTGAGGCAGGCATTTGGAATGTAAAGATAAACATGATAAGATGGAGTTCCCACTCTTTGGAAACATACAATCTAATGGGAGCAGTAGGCAACTAAACAAGGACAGTGTGATAAGGAATGATTCTCTTTTTCAATTAAGTCCCTTGAGAATCTACATTTTGGTGTCTTCCACCTGCTGACTGTACACTTTTAGCTAATGACTATCCATGGTAACTGGTGATGTGGGAGATGGGTTTTGATTCACAACATGTCAAGGAACAGATCTTAACAGATGGAGCTTAGAACTGTGGTCAGGGTAATTGTGGGTGTGACCTAAAACAGTTGACTCCCCCGGCTTCCTCTGCCTGAAAGCCTCTACTACTGGAGACAAGGGAGAGAGATCTTCAGGGGCAAACGCAGATTTCCAGCTGCATGCCAAGTAGGCTGCCTCTGCTGAGCCCAGCAGGTCAAGGTGGTAGCCATGATAATGTCACTGTACTCCAACCTGGGTAACCACCCTAAGTCATTCTTCATTTTCCAAGTTAGGTCTTTTCTGGGTGCAGTAGAAAGAAACCAGTCTTTGGACTGAAATCAAGCCAGATTTAAATTCCTGTTAGGCTATCCATTTAGGTGTGTGACCTTGGGAAATTTCTTCATCTGTAAAATGGATGAGATCTCTGAAGGATCACAGGAAATAACATACTCAGCACTTTCCCTCCCCCTACCAAAATGAAATGTTTTAGGATGTCATCATATGAGGGATACTAAAAAAAACCCAGAATTTATTTATGAAAAATTGTATATTTAATCTTACATGTTTAAACTTCAGTCACCTTCAGAGTACTCTCTGTTTGATGCAATACACCAATCTAGATGCTTTTTCCATTGCTCAAAAGAGTTTTGAACTTGTCAATTTTGATGCCTTTTAGTGCTTCTGTTGGGTTTTGTTTGTTTGTTTCTTTGTTTTACCTTTTCCACATCAGCAAAATGTTTCCCTTTAAGGTTTTTTTCCCTCAGGGAGAAACAAAAAATAGTCAGTGGGTGATTAGGTGAATAGGGAGGGTGGGACGTGGGGATCATGCCTTGGTCAAAAACTGATGAACACTCAGCAAGGTGTAGGCAGGTGTGCTTGTAAATCATTCATCATGAAATGGGCAAACATGTTGAAAGAGTCTCCAAAAAAAGAAAATTCATTGAAACTGAATGCAGTCTTTCACAACAATGCTAGCTATTCCTACAACACTTACCTAGTGGGGGAAGCATGTATTATAAGGGCTTGCCCTCCAAAAAAATAATTCAATTGTTTTGGGGGGTAGAATCAGTGTAGGCCAGACTTTCTAGATCTTCATTTCAAATGTTCTGTCCTATTATCTTTACAATGAGACTTGATTCTTATAGTTTTGAAAATGTGCACACTCACACATGTTTATTGCAGCACCATTCACCATAGCAAAAACATGGAACCAACCATGTTTCCGTGCTACCCATGGAAACTGGACTGGATAAAAAAAAGTGTGGTACATACACACAATGGAATATTGTGCAGCCATAAAGAAGGACAAACATATGGACTTCACAGAAACTTGGATGGATTTAGAGTCCATCATACTCACTGATCTATCACAGAAACAGAAAACTGAGTACCACACATCTTCACTCATAAGCGGACTCTGAACAATTACCATAATGCTTTAAGAAAAGGATTGGCAGGAGTGGGATACAACCGGGGTAGGGGTGGCGGGAGGGACACAACATTAATAAGGTTACCTGATCTCAAATCAGGCAAAGTGGGGACCAAAGGGAGACCCAAACTTTATCTGTATGATGACCACTTGTGTACCTAATCCTGAATTGTAATCCACATCTTTTTTAAAAAAGTGCATACGGAGAAAATGAAAAATATGCTACAGGGAGTCTATGTTGATTTTAGTGTTGCACTAAAATCCAAAATGTATGCAAATACCTGTATTTCTTTTCTTCCTTTTTTTTTTTTTTTGGTCGATATCTCACTCTGTTGCCCGGACTGGAGTGCAGTGGAACGATCTTGGCTAATGCTTTGACCTGCTGGGCTTAGGTGATCCACCCACCTAAGTAGCAAGGATTACAGGTGCATGTCACCACGTCCAGTTAATTTTTTGATTTATTGTAGAGATGGGGTCTCACCATATTGCTCAGGCTGGTCTTGAACTTCTGTGCTCAGGCAATCCTCTTGCCTTATGCTCCCAAGGTGCTGAATTTTCAGGCGTGAGCTATCATGCCTGGCTAGGTACCTGTATTTCATAGTCTATTTTCAGAAGTTCTCCTTTACTACTCAAACACTGCACAGACCAGAACATGTAATATTTTTGCCCAGCTGCAGAATGAAAATCCCAATATCTGTGTTTTTTTTTTTTTTGAGGAAAGTGGGTAGTGAGGTAACTGGTAGGAAGTTAAGTTTTGAATTTTAAAATTGTGGTGCATACAAGGTGGGAATGTTGCTGTTTATAATTTTCTTTGTCTTATCCTCCCTACCCACCTTGTCTCCCCACAGGTAATTTTCCTCCCTGCACACAGTTGGAGTCTATATTCATTTCGCTCATGAATCACTCATTTTGCCTGCAAAAAGACAGATTTGCTTTTAGGGACGTTTCCCATGTTCTCATTCAGCTCACAAGTTATCAAGGTTATATTCATTTCAACTAGTGAAAAATTGTTTCTGGAGACAATTTATATGGAAAGAGCTGTGAACAAATTTGGACCAATGGGAAAGCAGTGATTCTTAAAAGTGTCAGCAAGGAAGGAGTTGATTTTTAATATTCCACATAATGTGCCAAATCAACTGGCAGTTACCTTCAGGGCAGATGAATCTCACTTTTTCCTGGACTGCTCAAATCAGAGGAGGGAAAATGGGAAGGTCTATTGCCTGAAACTCACAATGGCATGAGACACTGCCTCTGCTTTTATTTTGTGTTAAGTATTTCTGAGTGAATCCAGAAATACCTCATCTACCTAACGCTGGTGGATTGAGGGTGGAATAGTGTGTCTACAGAAATATTCCGGTTAAATGAAACTTGTCTTATAAAATGACTATTATTCATTCTAACCATTCTGGGTAACAGACATGTCTCTAATATGACTCCAAATTCAACTCTGTGTTATTTAATCTACTTCAGCCTCAGTCTGATCGATGGCAGAGGATGGGTAAAATTAGATGATTTCACATATCTTGCAATTCAGTGATGCTGTGATTTACAGTCTACTTTGCTATCTTCTTAATGCTACAATAATTAAACATTTTCTTAGTGATTCTGAGTCCTCATTTTGATTATGGAAAGATTGTTCCTAATGTTAGCAACAGTTAGCGATTATTAAGCCTTTTTCATCTGCCAGACACTGTAAGTGAGACACATGAGTACTGCATATAATCTTAACAACATCCCTATCAAGTAGAAGCCATCATCCATCCTCATTTTACAGTTGAAGAAACTGAAGTTCAAAGACATGAAGTAACTTGTTCAAAGTGACCCAGCTAATGGGTGACTGAGTTCTGACAGAAGGCAGTTCTGTTGTTAAAGCAGCAATTCTCAATCCTGGCTGCAGATGAGAACCACCTGGGGAGTTCATGGTGATGTTCAGATCTTGCCAGAGATGGATTTAATCAGAACATCTAGTGGTGGTGCCTAGGCATCAGGTTTTTTTTTTTAAAAAAACAATTCTTCAAGTGACTCCAAGTGATAGCCAGAATTGAGAAGTACCACTCTAGAGCTTGCACTATTTAATACTGTGCTAGAAATTTTTCCACTACCAGTTTGTTGCTTTTGACTTCAATAATTAACACCTCTGAAAATCAGTCTCAAATGGAAAAAAAGGGGCACCATAGTCCCCATCTCATGAGTCAATAGCTTAACAGGGTTGGTTCTGAACCTGATTTTTGGTGGGTTCTCATCTAATGTGAGACGCCTTTTATTTTACTATTGAGTCAGGATCTCACTTTGTTACCCAGGCTAGAGTGCCATGGCATGATCACAGCTCACCGCAACCTTGACTTCCTGGGTCCAGGTAATCCTTTTGCCTCAGCCTCCCAAGTAGCTGAGACTACAGGTGCATACAACTGCACTTGGCTAATTTTTGGAATTTTTTTTTTATAGAGATGAGGTCTTACCATGTTGCTCAGGCTGGTCTCAAACTCCTGGGCTCAAGCAATCTTCTTGCCTCAGTACCCCAAAGTGCAAGATTACAGGCATGAGCCATGGCACCTATCTGAAAATGCTTTTTTAAATCATTTGCTGTCACTAGTGACTGCTCACGACTTTCTGTGGGCCTGCCTGAGATGTAGACTCCAGCATTCTCTTCATTCTTTTATTAGTTGACCACTTCCAAACCACTATAGGCTACAGATCTGGGCAACCAGAAACATATATAAAACCACTGCCTTGGCTGGGTGTGATGGCTCACACCTGTAATCCCAGTACTTTGGGAGGCCAAGGCGAGAGGATTGCCTGAGTCCTGAGGGGTGAGACCAGCCTGGGCAACTTGGCGAGACCTTGTCTCTACAATAAATCAAAAAAATTAGCCGGGCGTGGTGGTGCATGATTGTGATTCCAGCTACTTGGAAGGCTGAGGTGGAAGGATCACCTGAGCCCAGCAGGTCAAGGTTGCGGTGGCCGTGAGTGTGCCACTATACTTCAGACTGGACAACAGAGTGAGACTCCAAAACAAAACAAAACCCATTGCTTTAAGGAAGAACAAATAGGTTCTAAGTCAGGGCCAGAGTACATGGTCTCCTAATCCTAGAAAATTCTAGAAAAGCAGAGATCTAGTTTAGCTTCTAATATTAAAGATGGGAACACTGAGAGCCAGAGGTAGAGTATGATTTTCTGAAGATCACACAGTGAGCATTGTCAGAGCCCGGACTGGAAGTCACTCTAAGAAGTCCTATACTGTACACTCATTCACTCACTCTTTCATTCATTCACTCATTCAACAAATGATTATTGAAGGCCTACTAGGTTTCAGGCACTCTTCCAGGTGCTACATTGCAGCAGTGCCTAGGACAGTATGTCTGCTCTCTAGTGCTATGGAGGGATGGTACCAGCTGTTATATCGCTATCTGCTTTTCCAGATGTCTGGATTTTGCAAACCTAAACTCTTGAACAGAGCCCTCTGGCTTTCCCTGACTACTCTTTCCCATTCTCTTACTTGTGTCTGTTCTTCTACATCTTTACATCTTTATAGCCCCACCCTCCCAGGACTAATCTGGCCTGCTGGATTGCCTAGCTTCCCAGAAATAAATGCCCAAATCCTTTCTAAGAATATTCCCATTCATGATTTTACAATGTACATGTTCATTTTTCAAGGCATAAACTTTCTTCTGTAAGGTGGTTCCTTCAACAGTGGAAGACCAAATAGTCTATCAGGGTAATGAAAACTATAAACTTCTCAAATAAAATTAAGCAATTTTCTCAGAAAAATTGAAAATTCTTATTTTGCATATATTTTATAATATTATATTACCTATTATTATGCCTATGTTATCTACATTTCACTTATTTGTGGGGTATCATAGACATTTTTTACTGACATGAGTGCACAGTCAAATAAATGTGGAGACCAGGTGCTTTAGGGAATGACATTCCAGAATCCCCATCACACTCCTTGACATCCTGTACCTTGAGGTGGCACATCACAAATTTGTGCATCAGATGGTTCCACTTGGACTTCTTAAATATGGAAAGGTGTCCTGTGTCATGCTGCAAAAATGAACTCTGAGCCTAGGAGAGATAAAATTGTCATGAGAGGAACTGTGAACTTGAGAAAAAAAAAATCAATAAATAAGCCTGCTGGTAGATTCATGAGCCCGTTAGAAAATAGCAGAAGAGCATGTCCAACCCCAGGCCAGATTTAGTTTCTATTTCCCACACATATTCTGTGTTTCCACCCTCTCTGCTTCTGCATAGGTGATTCTTTCTCAGCCTGGAATGCTCTTCTTGCCCCTGTCAGCACACTCAGGTATGGAGTGGAGAAAGCATGGACTTTGGAACCAGACAGATTTGGATTCTAAACCATCCTTCACCACTTATAAGCTTCAGGGCCCTGGGCAAGTTACTCAGTAGCTTTGACCTTCAGTTCTTCATCTGAGAAATGGGATTTCTAATATCTAATTCATGGGGCTGTTGTGCAACTAACATATGTGTAAAGTGCCAAGCTTACAAATATTTGTTTCTTTCCTTGTTTTCAAAAGTCACTTTTCAAAAAATAAAGTAAGTTGACTTTTCAAGAAAAAAAAATTGACATACAAAATTCTGGAAGCTGGAAACACACTTTTAATAGTTGGCCACTGTTTTTTGTTTGTTTCCTTTCTTGTTTTCAAAAGTCACTTTCCAAAAAATAAAGCAAGTTGCTTTTTCAAGAAAAAAAAAAATAACATACAAAATTCTGGAACCTGGGAACACATAGATGTTAACTGTCTACAAAACCTTCCCCGATTGTTCCAATGAGAAATAAAGGCTCCTTTCTGCTCCAATAGCCCATGTTTGTTTCTCTTGTTGGCATTCATGTCATCACATTGTGTCATGTAGTACGTTTAGCTATCAGATAACTATCTCCTCCATTAAATGACTCTTTTCTCAGGGGCAGGGAGCATGTGACTTTCCCTTTGTATCCTCAGCACAACGTTATGCTCATAGAAGTTCATGTTCACAGATTTACACTTCATTCAACAAGGATTTATCAAATGCCCTGCTAAGTGGCAGTTGCTGTTTGTCACATATGGACCAACTCATATGTTCTTGTTCTCATATATGTCCTTGAAGAATTTATAGACTGATACATTGATAAATGTTGGTTGGTTAATAAATGAAAGACAAAGATGAGTGTGACACGGCCAAAGACAGAACATCAGTTACTGAAATTGTAACTGATAGAACCAACAGTAGCAACTGTTATTAATTAAACATAGGCCTGGCACTGCCCAAGTTATTTGATACATAAACTTGTTCAATCCTCCTCAGAATAATTCTATATTTATTATTATCCTTTGTTTTACAGATGAGAGAAGTGGGCTTGATGAAGTTTGGTAACTTGTTGGTAAGTGCCTGACATAGATGAGTAGTTTGCCAAGAAGTGTTGGGTAGTAGCTGACACCAGTCTAAAAAGAGAAGGAAAAACTCTGAGCTGTTCTGTGAGGACACTGTCTGGGCTTAGGGTACCTGCTTACCTGAGAAATTGTGAGAATAAAGGAAATGAATATTGTAACAAGCCAGCCACTGCCAAAACGACATAGTATTAGCCAAGCTAGGACTTCCAACACTAAGATCTGGGTGAGGTGAAGGAAGAAGAAGCCCAGGTTGGCATTAAACATGTGCATAACCTCTAATGTCCTCCGCAGTTCTTGAAAATCTTTCACCAACTGGGACTGTGAAATAAACATTCAAGGAAGAAGTTAGATTCTTTAAGGGAAAGGGAGCACAAAGGAACATAATTGATAATGTTTTGTTTCAACTTAATAATGCATTTATTTTATTAATATATTTGTATTAATATTAATAGTTAGTTGTCCAGAATTTTAAAAAAAACATTAAGCAAATGAAACCTTTGAAGAAAGTTTATAATATATTTCTTTTTTCTGGAAAAGAGAAAGATGAATAGTGACTTATAAACTGTCCTAAAACTGTTAGGAAACTCAGAATTAATTTTTTGTGGGGCCGGGGGATGGTGAGGAGGGTTCAGTAGAGAGGTAAACTAACCTAAATAGCTGCCTTTTAAATAAGTATTATTTCAGGTGTTGACTGAGCTCTAGTTTTGTTTTGGGGAATTTGATCATGTATATAAATCTGTGTTACTAAAGTTACCGGTATAGTTTACAAAATGCTTTCCAGGTCATCAGTTGCTTAATGTGTACAAAGGGTTCTTTCATAGAAGATGGTGAACACAGAGCAAAACAGCTCACCTAGATCAGCTCTAAGGATACATTTTCCGAGACACGCTCAGTGGATCTGCAGAAACAGCATCTCTAGTGGCATTCGTGTGTGCCTAATGATTACAGTGATCCTGCATGAGTGTATTGTGCATGTATGCATGTGTGTGTATTCAGGTACAATGCTAGCATTGGTTTGCAAGTTGCCACAACATACTAGGGAGTGTGCAAGATTGGAATAAAATATTCCTTGGCTTATTGGTTATAATGGGCTTGAAACTAGGAATGTGAAGAAGGTGACCAGGGTATGAGAAAGATTGTAGGGTTGTGCAGATGTAAGAAATGAAGTTAGAACTAAAAAAGAGACAGCTGTGAAAATGATTCTAGAAATCAAGCATGTCATTTCAAAACTCACTGATGCAACTTTTAAAGGGCCCACTACCTGGCAAAAGCCTGGATAGGCTCATCCCTCAGGTACACATCAACCTTGGAATTCGTGTGGTCATAGATAATTTCAATAATCATCTAATGTTAACTGGTCATTGCTAGAGTGCCTTTCAGCCTGGTTATCTTTTCCAACCCATCTATTGCAGAGTTGAGCAGAGGGTCACCAAAAACCAGCAGAGTGACTGGTCTGAGATCATCAGTAAGTGAGGGATAGGTGCTAGACTTAAACCCGCACTTGACACCCAGTTGCATGCTCAAACACGAAATTTCTATGCATAGTGACCTGATTATCCACATAGATGTACTAAAGAAAATTTATCATAGAACTTTACTCCCAGAGACCAACACTTTTTAAAAGATAATGGTTATTATCTTTTAGCTCTCAGTCGTTCATGACATTTTCTTTTTCTTACAAACAACTTTTTAGGAAAAACCACAAGGCTTTGCATCATCTTTTCTTTCCAACTTAGAGCCACCTGACCCAAATGATGAGGGCATATCAGGAGATTTGTAAATTCCTAGCAACACCATTGGATTCATGATAATGATAATACTTAAAATTCACTGAACATTTGCTATGTTCTTGACACTGGTCTAAGCACTTTAAATTACTTTACTTTTTTCTATTGTCTTCCCAGCAACTCTAAGAGGTTAGTACTATTGCTGTTGCTATTTTACAGGGAGAGAAACTACACCATACACAGATTTAGGGACTGGCCTAGACTTACACAACTTGAGAATGGCAGGGCTGGGGTGTGAGTACAGGTTGTCCACTCTCAGAGTCCACTCTTCTGAACAGAGCTATGCTGTGGGACACACATGAGCCTAAGGAGTAATGCCAAGTGGTAGTCTCAGGTTTGCATGTAACTTGCTCTGTGTTCTCAGATTAGTCTTGTTCCTCTTGTGAGTCGGCCTCCTCATTTCTCTCTCTCTCTCTCTTTTTTTTTTTTTGAGTTGGAGTCTCACTCTATTGCCCAGGCTGGAGTGCAGCGGCACGCTTACAGCCACCGCAGCCTTGACCTGGTGGGCTCAGGTGATCTTTCCATCTCAGCCTTCCAAGTTGCTGGAACTACAGGCACATGCCACCATGACTGGCTAATTTTTTGATTTACTGTAGAGATGAGGTATCTCCAAGTTACCCAGGCTGGTCTTGAACTTGTGGGCTCAGGCAATCCTCTCACCTCGGCCTCCCAAAGTGCTGGGATTATAGGCGTGAGCCACTGCACCCGGCTGCCTTCTCATTTCTTAAAGAGGGAATAAAATCCTGGGTCTCTCTGCTGTAGTGTTATATGGAACCATACTTTGTACAAATTATTTCAAAGGACTTAGGGATCAAACAAATGTAAGCTATTATAAAATATAGATTGCAAAAATGGTATTCTTCAATATTAAATAAAATCCCTCTAAGCTTTATGTAAAGCCATTCCATTGAATATTTAGTCTTATAGAGATTCTGTCCTTTAAAAGGCAGTATTTCAATGTAGCAAATATATATTATATACATATATATTTTAACCAAAATATTAAAGAAAAATAATGGCATTCATCTTTCAAATCCAGAGGGAAGTGATGTAGAGTTTCAGCTCTTTGATACACCAGCTGTGGGACTTTCAGAAGATAATTTATTCTCCCTGAATGATAACTCAACCAAATGTAAAAAGGGCTGTGGTTAGGATATATTTACATCTTTCATTCAGTAGCTATTTATGGAGTTCCTACTACAAGTCTGATCCTGGGTAGGTTGGTCCTGAGGACACAGGGGTAGCAAGATAAATATATTTTCTGCTCTCATGGGACTTAGTTGTGCGGGGCACATAGACATAAAACATTAATTACGAGCAGTCAATGAGAAAAAAATTATATGTATAAGTTGCTTTGCATGAAGTCAGTGCTTAGAGACATGGAATTACTGTTTGATGCAGGGCCAAAAATTCCATTCTTTTGCTTTACAGAGTTTTAAGAGTTCTGAGAATCTACAGACAGACATTATTTTGAAATGCACTGAATCCACTCATTTACTATATTGTGGGCCCATCCAGTCATGATGGCTGAAATATGCTTTGTCTCCATCCTTCCACACACTTGGAGTTTGAGACTTCACTCACGTTTTTGTTTCTCTCCTGGCTGGGTTCTCCTGGGGCAAGCTCTCCAATGAGCAATGGCTTCAGGTATAAATGGACAATGTCGAGCTCGAGGTGCATGGCCCTGAAGACATCCTGTAAATCACAGACCTGTTAGAGGCTTGAAAGAGTCAAGCGCATCCACAGATTGGTTCCCTTTCTTACTTTGTCCTTTGCCCAAACTGGGAACCAGAACAGACTATTACAGAAAATTTGCTTCTACGTCCCGGTTGATGCTTTGAGTTGATTGATTAAAATGATCCCAGAGAGCTTCTCTATGTAAGACTCGAACTGGAGACCCACCTATAATATGCACTGCTTCTCTAGGAATGGCCAAAAAAGCCAGGTTATCCAACAGCATTGATAGGATGACTGTTTATTTTATTGAACACCTGAAGAAATAATTGCTTGAGTTTATGGATCATGATGAATCTTGAAAGCCCAGCATCAATTTTGGTGTAGAAGTTGTGGCAACCAAGGCTGGTTACACAAATTACATATACCACTGAGAGCTCCCTCTCTTTCTTGGCCAAGGCCCAGGGGAATGAGGTCCCTTGAATTTGTTATTTCTAGAGAAGAACAGTTTAAAGTTGATGATGGCTTAAGGCAAAGGCCCTTGAGCTCTGAGTAGTCAAAGTAGTACAACTCTTGGTTAACTTAGTTACTAAAGGAGTCCCATCATGTTTTATTTTAAAAAAAGGTAACCATCAGAAACAGAATAGAGGCTACCACATGCATGTTTCCATCTCAGATGCACATTAAATGACAATTCTATATGGCTATGAGAGGCAGCAATGGTTTCTACATCCTATTTATGTTTGTAAGGAAGAGATTGCCCTGCCAGGGATTTAAACAGTTTTTGAAAAGAAGAAGGGTTCTCCAAGAGGGAAATGCTAGACTTCTGCTATTATAATTCAAGGAAGAGAGTGATTAAAAATGAAGAAATATAATTAAAGTTATAAATTGAATATGTGAAAGTCATACAAATTACTCTGGTCTGGTGGTGTTACTTTATACTGTTTGAGAAAGGGGACCTTGGAGCCAGTCTTCCTAGCTCGAAATTCTGGTTTTGCTACTTACTAGCTGTATAATTGTGGGCAAATCTCTTGATTTACCCATAATATTTCTATTTTCTCTTCTCTGAATGGAGATAATGATAATCACTCGATTCATCAAGTTATTATGAGTATTAAATAAGTGAATTAGAATGCTGGATGGTATATACTGTACTAAAATTTTTTTATAATCGATATTTTTTATTATGATATTGTGGGATACAGTTAAGGGTTAGGTATACAAATATGCTCCGTTCAGGCACCCTTGTTGATAAAAGGTGTCTCCCTGTCCCCAGACAGATGTTTACTACCATTAATCCCATCTCCCTTCCCCTTCCTCCCCCCCATAGTTTCCCACCACTATCAGTCATTTTCTTATGGTAATACGTTGGGTGATCAAGGTCCGCTATATGAGTGAGACTAAATTGTTAATATACATTAGATATCTTCCTTATATGTATACTCCAAATGATAAGAACTCACTACCTACCTTCTCTTCAAGACAGTGATTCAGAGATTTTCTTCCCATACCCCAATGCCTAATGTGGAGTGAGCTCTGATTTATGTTAGTGAGTATAATGAATCCTACATCTTCAAATCCGGGAGCAACTTTAGCTATCCACGAGCTATATACAGACCTGCTTGTCAGAAGATACTTATATAATAAATAAGGTTAGATAGAAGGGTACAATATCAATTCTTTAGACTCATTTCATCTAAGGGTCTCTAAATGCAATGTCTGCTAGAACCACTCCAGGTAGTAGTGTCCATTCTGTTTCTGCATGCTTCTTTGACCTCCTTGGGAAATCCTGAACTATATAATTTCAAAAGTTTTAAAAAATATTTTTACATTCTATGATATTAAAGCTTAAGAAAGAGTGATTCCATGATTAAAAATAGCTCATGATAGTCCACACTGTAACATCATGTTCTGCTTGTTGTTTCAGAGCAGGTTAGGATGGAAAACATCCTGATGGATCAAGGTCAAGGTGCATTTTTGTCATATGCTGAGCAGCTTTCTGGAGTCTTGGAACAGTGTGCTGACAATACTGTTCTTTTGGATTCATTGTCTCTTCTGTTCCCCAGGGAGATTCACAGGTCAGTACTATAACAACAGATACTGAGGAGCTCTGGCTTGCCAGAACAGTAGGAATTGGAAGGCTTTGCTGCCATGTGGAATTCTCTTCCTTGTGTTAATAGAAAACTATAACAAAGGAGTTAGGTAGTCTTAGAATGTTCTATTTAAAAGAATTTTCTAACAGAATCTGGATGCTGAGTAAGTTGTGAAATCCACCTCCCCCTTTTTAAAACATTTTTTTTTAACTTTGCAATAGAAATCCCCTTTTGAAAGGCTTGTAATAATAGGTCCTCTTGCCAACATTCTTGGGCCCAAGTATGTCCTGCTAAAGGAAGGAGAGGAAATAAAACGAAGGGGAGACGGGACTGGCACCAGTGTTTATAGAGTGTATCCTATGCACAAGGCATTCTGTGTGCCACCTTACAGTCATCACTTTAATTCTGTGAAGTTCCATTGCTTCTTTCGTACAGATAAAGACACTAAGCATCAGAGATGAAAAAGTCTTTTCCCAAAATGGTACACGTAATTGTAGAGTTAGGATTTGAACTCGGGGCTACTTGATGCTAAAGCCATGAAGTCCTATAGGTCCATTCCAGCCTTAACACATATAATTCATTTTCTGAAAGGCCTCCCAAGAAACAAGTGATGCCAGATTTTTTTTTGGAGGGTGGGGGAATGCTAAAATCAGTACATATCTACTGGGAAGATGGAAATGGTATCTTTCCATCTTAGGTTTTTAGTCATGGGAAGTGATTTGCTTCTGGCTCCAACCTACAGACTCACCTTCTCCATACCCTTTATGCACCATTTTCTCTACTGGGGCCTCCATGGCCCTCATGTTTCTGAAACTTTACACATATTGTTCCTTTTGCCTCAACTATCTTCCATTTTTTTTTCTCCATAAAAGATCCCCTAACTGTTCCAGACCCAGATTAAATATTGCCTCCCGAGTCACTCAGGAAAGTGATTTGCAGTTGCCGCTGGGCTCACATGACACTTCGTTCCTACAGCTTTTCTTTTTTCCCCCCAAACCCTGAAGGTTTGCATTTCTTTTTTTCCCTACAGCTTTTCAAATGATGTTATAATGAATTGTCCCTTCTTTAGTGGTTTGTAAGTTTTTTTGAAGACTGTGACGATGCACTATTATTGATTAATACGTAATGCCTACTACTGTGTCTGGAATATGGCATGTGATCAATAAATACCCGATGAATAAGGGGCAGAGTGAATGAATGGATGGATACAGCACTCTCCTAATGAGGAATTGGGATCATTAAAGTGTGGCGCTCAGAGAATGTGGCTATTAAGCGCTGCCATTTTTCCTACTCTTAACATCTCTATTTTCTGATTTTCTTGCTACTGTAGCATGTTCTATTTTCATCTGTTAGCCTTTTGACTTTCTTCTCAGTCATCATCTCTACTCTGTAACTTATTCATGCATTTATATCCCAGTTCATCTCATAACTGTTATTTCCAAAATAGTAACAACATCGAGAAGTATGATTACTACTTAGCTTTCACAAATACTTTGGAAATCCTGCTAATTCTTTGCTGTTATTTGGTGGGGGATAGAGTGATGTGCTTTCCTGTATAAGCAGTATGATTCTTGGTGAAAAAGCATGTAAAGTCAGGAAGCCTGAGACAAAAATCCTGTTTTTACAACTTAAATGCTGTATATAGGTTGTACCCTACATGAAGGCGCCAGGCCAAGAGGGCCGGTGTGGCCTGACTTCCAGTGGCCACCTCATTTTTCTAAATCTTGTGCCAAAGAAGGTGCCTTTTCTAATTCACACTAAGGTACATTTTAGAGTATCAGAAGAGTAAACTGTATCACATGTGAAAATTACTTAATTTCTCCAAGCCTTGGTCTTCTTTCTAGATGTAGATAATATTACCTAGTCTGCTCCATGCTCCTATCTGTTCATTACTTCCACCATTCATTTATTCAGTTATTTTAAAACCTATCAAGGACCTAGCCTAGGTTAAGAGCCTGAGTTTTGGAAGCAGACATCAATAATGATCACAATTATATTTTGTTATTACCTAGTTCGTCCAATTTAGGTTGAAATTTCCCAAAAGAAGTTTATTAAGAAACAAACAAGTTCAGAAAACACTCATGGAGAATGTGCATACGTAGCTACAAAGTCAGATAACTAGAACACAGGCCTTGATTTAGTCACTTCATTAAAAACTCATGAGACTATTCTATGCCCAACCACAGATTAAGACCCCCACTCCCACACCTGTGGGTAATTCCACTTCTGCTTCCTTCTCAGATTTTATCTGTTCCAAGGCAATGGCTAGAACAGTCTCCACATATTTCAAATGGAGGATAAGTTCTGAAGAGACTGATTTGTGTGGAAAATGCATCTTTGCCCTTGTCCTGGAGACAACTGCTTTGTTGTGGAGAATGATTACGTAAAACCATTAGATTTCTCATCACCCACAGGGATAAGCAAAGCGTTGTTTTCCCACTGCAACTTGTTCTATTGGTTGAAATTTTTCATTATTTAAAAGCTTCCTTATAGTGAGTTGTTTTAAAAATGATCCTTTCAACTAAGCTCCAGCTCAAACTAACTCAACTCTTTATCTCCTCTTCTTTCAAACCTATGGGCTCCGCTATCCTGTAATGGATATCACCACCTGGTTGTTCCAGGCTTATATTTATAAGTCAGTTTAGAGTCCTCTGTCCTGCTGGCTTATTCAGTCACTCAGCAAATATTATAAATTAGGTCTCTAAATATCCTTTCTACTCATCTCCTTTTCTCCATTCCTGTTGCCAATGTCTTGTTTGGGCCTTCAACATATTCCCTGGACTCCACTCTGAGCTTCTTTCCTTTTTCTTTATTTCATCTTTCACTTAATTGCCAGGTTGACCTTTCAAAAAGGCAGCATCTTCTCATGGACTATTTTCCTCTGTTAGCACTTGAACTCTCTTCTCTCTCTTCTCATGTTTTACAACTAGAACCAGCATTCAAATGAGAATCTGGTTATTTATAAAATTTTGATGACCCAGAAAAGATGCAATTATTGCCTATCATAACTTTCCTTTTGCCAGTATCTTAGAAGTGCCAGTTGATTTGGTTGTGATGATGAGGATGCAGTGGGGGATATGCTGAGCTAAGGAAGCAGAGTGGAAGGAGAGGCAGCCATGTTGGTGAAATGCAAACTCCTTAGCTTAGCACTCAGGATCATTCCCCACCCCCCTTTTCTCCTCTCTCTCCTTCCTCTTCATCTTTTCTTTGCCCTCTCCTCTTATTGCCAGTGACTTCCACTATGACCATCATGGACATTCGTTAGCACATACTTTTGGCCAATACTGCGTCAAAAAGAAGGAAGTGTCTAGGCTGGGATGACCATTCTGGCTGCGTGCTTTCTCACGATGTGAATCACATCTGTACTCCACCTCTGAACCCAGCCTCCCTTCCTCCTCCCCCAGTCTTGCCTGTCCTGGGGTGCTCTCTTTTGGAGTGCCATGTGACTCAGACTTCTACACTGCAATTCTTCAAGTAGGTGAAATGGACTCTGCCATATTTCCCCTGTTCTTTTGTCATCCCTTCCCTGTTATTCTGGCCTCTGACTCTTGCAAAAGAACTTGAGCTTCTCAGTGTCTTACCTAGAATATTCAGAGACAAGGAATGGGCTGACTAGCACACAAGATCATAACCTGCATTCTTTGTTTGAACATGCTGTCTCTGTGAACACATCGTAAGATTGCATTTGCTTTCTTCCCCCCACTGTTGTTCTGTATAAAACTTGTGGCCAATTATTTATTCATATATACTTACCAGGATCAAAATGCTTTGTAACCCTCAATTTAATGATTGCAAAATAACTCATTGTATTGTAATTATATTACAATCTTTATAATTAGTCCTTCTTATTAAACTTACAGGTTGTTTCTGGCTTTTCCTAAGTGAGCTCTTACAAGTGAAAAGACTTGGCCTAAACTCTAATTATTAACATGGTGACATTAGTTTTAAATCACATTGTTTGAGAACAACTAGATAACACATGTGCAATAACACAAGGTTATGTGCCAATTTTACTTTATAGATTTATTTTTCCTAGTAAAGTTCTTGGAGAAAGTGAAAATCCATCTCAGAAGAATGAAGTAATAATAAAATACAAGAGCTGCCTTTTTTTGAGTATTTAAATCATGCCAAGTTCCATAGTGTGAAGATGAAATGAAGTACTTTGTGAGTACTTCATTTTATCTCCGTTGAATTTTCAGCAATACTATAATGAAGATATTATTGTCCTCATTTTCTAGCTAAGGGAACTGAAACTTCAAGAACTTAAACAACCTCCATAAGGCATTCCTCATAAATGTGGAGCCCAGATGCTAAAGGAAATACGTTCCATTCCTATTAGGCTGGACCCCTAACAAGAAATTTAGAACAACCTACTGCATGAATGAATGAATGAATGAATGCCCTCATGGGATGAAACATTATTCACTTTTTATGAGGAGGATAAAGGCCTGTAAAGTGCAGCCATGGGTCTAGGGCTGTATTTTGGTCTACAATTGCCACTCCAGGGTTCAACCCACAAATACTCCTTATGCTATAGAGTGAACATTTGAGCCCAGGTCCTCTGACTTTGTGGTCTTTCCTCCTTTCTTGGAGAGCTTGATGCTTCTCCATCATATACCACTCTGTTCCCAATCAGGTGACACCAGATATAACCAGGATTTCTAAGCTGGTGGCAAACAAACAAGAAGTAATCATAACATTTCTGAGGATAAGGATGCCAGTGACATGAATAATAATAGCTACAATGAAATGAACTTTGACCAAGTGTCTGGAATTATGCCAAATAGTTTCCATGCATTAGTTCCATCTCCCATAATCCAATCAGATGGGTAATGTCATTCTCATTTTGCAGATAAATGAAGCTGTGGCTCAGAGCATCTCAAAAACTTTCTCAGGTTCACATAATGAATTTCAAAGCTCAGGCTCTCAGTACTCTGAGTAGCCATAGAATATTATGGATGTTCCTGGCACCATCCCATTCTTCTTAGGCTATCTTCCCTTGGAGAATCTTTTCTTGACATTTTTGGCTTTATTTTCTTAAAGTCTAAGGTACATGGCTGACCAAATGTATGATTTTCTTCTGTGACATATATGAATCCCAAGGTGGCATGGGTATTTGTTCCCAAGGTTCTGAAAGGTTCTACTTTATCAATTCTAATTACTTCTTGTTGGCCATAGTTAGATACAAAATCAGAGTATTTTTCTGTCTTCTGGGAGATAAAAATCATAAGCAAATTCGAATTTGTCATCTGGGCTGCCTCAAACTGAGTGAGGTTATCAGTTATTTTTGAGGTGGCTGAAGGCCCATGTCCTAAATGACACATCGTTTGCGCTAATCCTGTGTCTTGGGTTAGGAAAGACTCATCCTTATTTGAGTGGTGGAAATGAGGGAATGGAATAGACAGACTGGGATCTGTAGCCTTTTTAAATTTTCTTTTTGTTTCTCCTGTTGTTCTGACACAAGTGCTGTTCACCTTGCTCCTACCATTTACTCTCTAGATTTTTACATGGTATGTGGCAACCACTTGCTACAAGCTCAAGCTCACTTCCCAAGGAAAAGTTGAGCTTTGTTTAAAAAATATATGAGATCTGAGAGAAGTAGTGGGAAATAAATAGGGTGTGTTCAGGAAGTCATTCATCTGCCTGTAGCGTCAAGACAAAAAGATGGTAGAAGAATAAGAACATAGACAGACTGCACTCCAGTCTGGGCGACCGAGTGAGACTTCAACTCAAAAAAAAAAAAAAAAGAACACAGAGAAGAGAAGTGGGAAATTGGGGAAAACAGATGCTAAGAACATCGAAAGGTAAAATCTTGCATCCTTTACAAATTTGCCAGGTATGTGCCAATTCTGTTTTTATTAGCATAGTGTCATTTACAGATGGGTGCTTAGCAAAATGATGTTTTCAATCCAATGCTTTAAAATCAATTGGAGAAATTATATGCTAAATTGTAAAACCAACAGGAGCAACCAAAATTTTACGAGCCCAAGTTTAAACTTCTGTTCTATGTTAATTCTCTGATCATGAGTTAGTTGTTTAGTTTTTCTCTTTATTTCTTCATCTGTATTATGTGAAAAAATAAAATTCCCAATTTAGAGAAAACAAAATTCTTTTTTAAAAGATTCTCAAAGGCACTTAAGATCTTGGGAGACCTACTTATCAAATATTAAGCAAAATTTTTTAAGGATCTAGATATATAGTGCTTTATGATTAAACAAACCTGATTTCAAAATTTGGCACCATTACTTGCTGGCTGCATGACATGTTATTTTCTTCTTTGACCCTCAATTTTTTTTATCTGTAATATGGGAATAATAGTTGATTTCCTCACAGGTAGTTTTAAATGAGATAATGCATTTGAATGTGTTCATAAAAGTGGATTGCATATATTACACTGAATAAGATACAGGTTGCAGAAGAACTCTTCACGCTCTCAAAGCCTAAGTAATTGTAGGCGTTAATCATTATTCAGAACATTTTGATGCCCACTGGTTGCATTGCTTGATTTCTTTTAGACCCTCCAATGATAAGAGTCTTAGAAATTTCTACTCAGGTGCAGATGTTCTTTTTTGTACTCTATATTTTACTCACCTTTTTGTAACTTTCTTTTTGCATGACACTTCAAAACAAAGCAAGAGCAAAAACAAACACCAAGAGCAAAAACAAACCCATAATACACAAACACAGTATTCACTGTCAACGTCTGAACTTATCCCAAACCAGGTGCAGCTCATAACTAGACCTTGTGGCTTAATTTGCTTCCAAATTCTTGTTAGAAAGGAATCTTGAAAAATTGGTTTGGGAGGAGATGAGCAATCGTTGAGCCTGAACACGTACTCGAATGCTTTTGGGAAGAGAGCCAAGATCTCAGCTATCGGGCAGCAGAGGGAGAAAGAAAGAGAGAGAGAAAGCTAGAAGCTTGGAGGCTCGGAGGTTCCTACCGTGGCATCTTCTCCAGCGTAGTGGTTGAGGATCCGGCGCCCACCCGGATGCCTGTCTGCCCAGCCAGTGACATTGTAAACCTTGCGATTGATTACCAGCCACTGGTCGGTCTCCTGATTGTGTTTCTGGATCTCTTGCCAGGTGTACATGTTGAGGCTTTTCCTGGACACGTCGCTCTTTCCATCTGCCTCCTGCTTTGCATAGACCTCAACTTCCCCTTTTGCTAATGGCTTTCCATTTACCTGATGCTTCTCATCCTGGCACAGCTGGCTCCTACCTACAAGGCACCCATTCTCCCCACGCTCTTCTTCGAGCTTCATTGTCATTGAATTCCCAGGATTTCTCGGTTGACTCCTGAAATTTCTAATTCTTCCCTCTGATTGGACCATAAAGTGATCACCTTGCTTCCTTTTCATTCCATTGCAATCTGAAGCCTAGGCTGAAAACTTCTTTTGCGCCTAGTTGTCTCTTCACATACCTGAGAAGTGAGCACCTTCCTAGACTCTCCCTTCTCTGTCTCCCTGAATCTTTTCTGCCCTGACGGAGACTAGATCATCTTTCTCTCTCCTTTCTCTCTTCGCTTCTCTCCCTGCTGTCTAGCTTCTTACTTAACAGCATCCTCCTCCTTTGTTAAATGTCCCTTAGTAAATGACCTGGGCCAATCCTCTCTGGCTTAATGGGTGGCCCGCCCCAAGGGAGGAGGGACTAAGCTCTGGGTTGGTAATTTTCCTGCATGGCATCAAGCTCTCTGAGGCCTGTGAGTGGGGACCTTTAGATGTGTTAATTCAACATATGAGCAAAAGCTTTCAAAATCACTAGGATGACACGAATGCTGGGAGGACTTGGGAAATGTTATTTTGACAGCTGTTATTTTTCCCAAGGGCCTTTACATTCTTTTAAGCCTTTTTTTTTGAGAAAAATTTGGGCTTTCATTCCCAAAAAAGCAATTCAATGCCAACTAGTCTTCCCACTTTTTATTCTCCTTTGATAGCCATCTAAATCTGTCAGCGTACCTTAAGATAACAACTGATGTTTGCTAAAACACATGATAGTTTACAGAGCCCTGTCACATGTTTTATCTGATTTAATCCTTACATCAATCTTTTGAAGGAGGTGCTATTAGTGCCCCATTTTCCAGGTGAGAAAACACAGGCTGAAAGCCTCAGGTAACATGCCAGAATCACCTTGTGCGTGAGAAGTAAACTGGTGCATGACTCTAGATTTTCTGATTTCAAATGCCAAACTCTTTCCACTCTATTTCTCACATCTAGACATTTGTAATAATAACTTGACTCTGTGACTTAGAATCATGCAGAAGAAATGATTTTGGGGAAGTGTCTTAATTTTAAGGAAAGAGGTTGCATAGAATAGAAAAAGCATATTCTCATATTTGGGAATCCATCCTAACTAAATCATCACTATTTTAGTCCAATATTTATGCACAAAATATTATTTTAGTATTATTTATAATTGTTAAAAATCAGAAATGGCCTAAATGTCTAGCAATAAGGAAGCAGACTGCATTAATTATGTATATGCTGAGTATTATATGGATATTCAAAAGGAAGTCTTTAATGTCATGGACTTGTGCTTGCTATATAACAAAGGAACAAATAGTCAATCAATATACCAAAATGCTGGCATTATTTGCCTTTGGATAATAGTGTTATTCAAGGTTATTCCTTCTTTATTTTTTCTGATCTTTCCCAAGTTTTCTACACATTAGTACATATTCCTTTTTTTTTATGGTCAGGGTCTCATTCTTTCCTCCAGGCTGGAGTGCGGTGGCATTATCAGGACTTACTGTAGCCTTGATCTCCTGGGCTCAGGTGATTCTTCTGCCTCAGCCTCCAGAGTAGCTGGGACTACAGGCATGCGCCATCAAGCCTAGATACTTTTTTCATTTTTTATTTTTTTGGTAGAGAAGCAGTCTCACTATGTTTCCTAGGCTGATCTTGTACTCCTGGACTCAAGCAGTCCTGCTCTCTCAGTCTCCCAAAGTGCTTGGATTACAGGTGTGATCCACTACACTCAGCCAGTGTATGTTACTTTTATAATTAAAAAGATAGTTTCTTTAATAAAAACAGGGAACCAAAGAGGAAAAGAAAAATCATGGATTTTGAAGCTGGGATCATATTTTAGCCCTACCATTTATTAGTTGTAGACCATCAGGTAAATTACTTTATTTATTTAGGCTTTAGCTTTCCTTCTGCAAGATAAAATAATAAACATAATTTTTAGCATTACATTAAATTAGCACAAGTACCATGATATTAGCAGAAACCCTGTATAGTTTTCATTATTTTTGAGCAAATTTTATAATTTTTTCAAACAATTTTTTATAAATTTCAAAAATAATGAAATTTTAAAAATCCAACATACATATGTCCAGTATTTCTAGGTCAGTCATATATGTAAATTCAGGACTGCTCCAAAGCTTCACTATAAGTGAAGTTTTAGGGCATTAGTCTGGTTGGAATTTTGGTGGAGGTGGGTCAGGGGCTTGTCCAGGGGAGTTGCCTGGCACTTTTTGTAAGTTTGAGATAATGCCATTTTGCCATATCATAGTACTGTGGTTTGAATGTTTGTCCTTTCCAAAATGCATGTTGGAATTTAACAGGATTGTAACGGTACTAATAGGCAGGATCTTTAAGAGGTAATTAGTTTGTGAGGGCTCCACCTCACGGTGGGATTGGTGTCACTAGGGTGAGTTCAGTTCTCTCAAGCCCCCTCTCTCTTTTACTATCTTGCCTTTTGCCACATGGGAACATAGCAAGAAGGCCCTGGCTAGATGCCAGCACTTCCCAGCCTCCAGAGCCAGCAAATTTCTGTTCATTATAGATTGCCCTGTCTCAGGTATTCTTTTTATAGCAGCACAAAAGTAAATGAAGGTGTACATCATGCAGCTACATGGTAGGAGGGGTGTGTGTGTGCATGTGTGGATAAAGACCTTTATATCCCTCATATCCAACCAGGACTAGGGCAACTTTGTCTCCTTTGAACCCCTTTGTTCAAAGTGTTTAAAAGTATTGGTAGCAATGGCTTTCCTAGCAAAAGTCCTCAGTACACTTGGCCTGCCATGCCAAAACATTTCTTTTCAGATTGAATATAAATCTATCAGAATATATCAGCTGTGTTCAAATTTTTCCCAAACTTGGAGAGGAATGTCCCAGCAGCATCTCTTCTCAGTAACTCTGGGCTACCTTATAATATTCTTCCTTGTGGACAATTAGGTGTATGCCTTACCTCAGATATAATACTTATAATTGTTGTGATTACCAAAAGATATTTTAAAACTAAAGTTCTTTTAAGGATAAGATTCTGAGATGTTAGTCCCACTATGAGCTTTGTGAAAAGCTGGCATCTTTTACTGGTTGAGGATGAATTATTCAATACAGTTATTTATTTACAAATTAATCCATTGAGCATGGAGTGACTTCCATGGGCAGGCATTGTGCCTCCAGGCCTTTCTATCACCTTTAAAAACAAATAGGTCTTTTTGACATCATCACTCAATAAGACAGCAGAGCAAGGATTACCACGACTCCAATATGTGTATTCAATTACTTAGGTACTCAAGGCATCCCTTGGCTAGACCACATAGAATCCTGGTGCTCTGGCCCCTCAGCCTGAAACTAGTCAGAAGCATTATAGAAATTTTCCCTGTTATCAAGAACCTTCTTTCCTTTATATAATTTGCTGAAGATTTATAGAGAACTTATTATTTTCTGGTGGTCATGCTAGCAGAAAATGAGCTATGAGAGATAAACAAAACTTTATTTTCTCTGTATAGGGAGCTACTGAAATCAAACAAAAACAAACAAACAAAACACAATCCCTAACCCCTTTCTCATCTTAAGCATTGACTCTTGGTAGCAATCTAGATTTCCAGGGTTCAAAATCCAAGGCTGCTGCTTCCAGAGCTGTGAATTTGGACCAAGTACCTTAACCTCCCTGTGCCTCAGTTTCATGTGTCTAAAATAAGGATAAATTTAATAATACTAACACCTTAAAGATTTTTCTTTGTGAAGATTAAATGTGTTAATTTACATATAGTGCTTAAGATAACATCCAGAAGTCCTCTATCCATGCTAGGCATTGATATCATTCTTCCGTTTCTGAGTCAGCACATTATTCAAACACAGTAAATATTCAAAGAGCACTTGCAATTGCCAGGTACTGCATCTTTACAATAATTCAGGGTTCTTAAAGGAAGTGGGAAGACAGTCAGTCAGTGGGCAAGATAAAAAAGACAAACATGTATTAGTTCACTGAAGGAAGTGGGAGAAAATGCATCACAGCATAAATCACAGACTGGAGAAGCAGGCTGATCTTTTCCCCTCACATGGACAAAGGCTTGGTTTTTGGAACCACAGCTGTCTCATTTTTGACGTCTCTCCTCCAGGCTTCTTATCTCCTTTTAAATCAGTAAGTGAACATTCTCCAGCTCTGCAATGTTGTAACTCAACCAAAAAGGTCAAGCTCATATAATGCCCTCAAAACCAAAGCATTGCTCAAATAGGTAGAAAATGATTTTCACTTAAAATGAAATTCTATAACAGCTTCTGGTGCCAGCCTATGCTACTTTTAGGTCTCAAGGATTCAAACTCTGTAATTAACAGGGAAAGAACTTCTTTGAAGTTAGATAGCACAGAGCAAAAATCTCTGGTTTTAGCATCAGCGGAACTATTCGTGCCCCTTCTATGCTACTTCCTTCTTAAAAGCTGTGCATTTTTATATAAGGTGCTTGTCCTCTCTGAACCTCAGTTTCCGTCTCTGTTCAATTAGGTATGGTTCCTATTCTCCTTATATTTAAAATTTTTTTTTTGCTTTAAGGATGTGAGGCATAATTCAGGGTTAGGTATACAAATGGTCATTGTACAGAACAAGTTGGGGCCTCACTTTGGTCCCCATGGCACCTGGTTTGAGATCAGGAACCCTTACTGATGAAGTATGCCCCCCTACCCTCTACTCCCTCCCCTGGCAGTTTCCTTCTACTGCCAATCCCTTTCTTATAGTATTATGATTATTGTTCAAGGTCCGCTTATGAGTGAAAACATGTGATACTCCGTTCTTTGTTTCTGTGATAGATCAGACAGAGTATTACAGACTCTAAATCCATCCAAGTTGGTGAAATTTCATGACTTTCAGCAGGCAGCATGGTTGGTTTCATGTTTTTGCTATTGTGAATAGTGCTGCAATGATCATGCCTGCACAAGTATCTTTTTTGTAGAATGATTTGAGTTCCTCTGGCTATATTCCCAGCAGGGTGATTGCTGGGTCATATGGAAGGTCAATGTCTAGTTCTTTTAGAAATGGC